ACACACACACACACACACATACACACACACACACACACCCCTCAGTGTAGGCTTCGAAAGCTGTTCTCTCCGTTATAAATCTGCTCTGAGTAACACAAAGAGCTGCAACAAGCTTGGACTGCATTTAACACACAGATGGGGGAGGAAAGTCAGTCCACGGCCCAGTTCAGAGCTCTTTGGCAGTTCAGCTAAGTGTCAAGTGGGGCTTTTCCTGTGCTTGCTGAAACAAAACACTCTTTCTGGTACTCAGATAGGCAAGTGGTACACAGGGTTCCAGGAACATAACTGAGTAGAAGCGGTAGTTGCCAGGAAGGGGAACTTACTTTAACCTCTGGAATTCAGCAAAGGCTTCATCAAATGCTTTAAAAGAGAAAAAAAAAAAAAAGAAAGAAAGAAAGTTAAAAATTTCTCCGTCAGAATTGATGACACACAGGGCTGATTAAAGTCCCAAGGCTAGGTCACTGCCGACCTTTCCAGGAGACTGCCTAGGGCTTCACCTTACAGTGAAATGCTCTCAACAAGACAAGCACCCTCTAGGTAGAAAATATGAGGTAGTAGATTCTAGAAGCTTTCATCTCAGCAAGGGCCCTTCAACCGTAAGCAAAAAAGTTAGCTATCAGTCCCACCCAAGAAAAAAATGGGGATAAAAGTCTTTCAAATAAAGGTGTGTTGTCTAAGCATCCTGAGAAGAAAAGGAGGGAAAAGAAGAGAAAAGAACAGGGAAGAAAAAGCTTTTTCTTGTTAAGTTATCCCTGGCGGGCTCCTGGGCTAGACAGTTCAACCGTCTTCATGACAGGTTTTTTTTGGTCCGTGTAGGCGGAAGAACACACTGAGTAGTGGTCATCACATTGATGCTAAGGCTGGCCTGAAGTCCAGTGTGCTGTCCATTACAGAACGGAGCCCTGAGACTGTACATTTTTTTCTTTTTGATTTTTTAAATACATTTTTTTGTTAGCATACAAAATAATGGGTTTCGTTATGACATTTCATGATATGAATCATTGGTCTTTGCTCATATTCTCCCGCACCTTCTGTCCCTCCTCTGTCCTCTCACTGGCACAGAGGTGGGGCAAGTGAGATAAGAAGATGAAAATTACACTGTTCTAAAATAATCTTATCCCTGTGACGTCAGGGTAAGACCCGTGACGGAGATCATGAAAAAAGGCAGCTCTGTTTTAAAATCCTTCTATTTCATCTTTCATTTCCTTTGGGGCTCAAGAAACACACACACACACACACACACACACACACACACATGCATACACACAGACACACACAGATATGATTTATTTGCATGTGTGGGTTGAGAGTATGGGTTGGCTTGTGTGGAGGGGTTGGAACACAACTTTCAGGAGTCAGTTCTCACCAGCTGTGCTCAGTAAGATCGGGTCTCTTGTCTCTGCTGCTGCTCAGCTGGGCTGGCTGGCCTTCGAGTTTCCCGACTCACACCCACATCTCAGGGCAGACATACTGAGATTATAGATGTGTACTATCACATCCAGCTTCTCCTGTGGGTTCTGGGGACTGAACTCAGGCCATCGGACTTCCACAGGGAGTGCTAAAACCCCCTGTGGTGCCATCTCCCCAGCCAAGACCCATATTTTAAGTCTAAAGAATATTTAGACAATACTAGTCTACACACCCCATATATGCATGTTTTATACATGGATGAACAGGCATAAAGTCAGCTTCAAGTTGCTGGGTCTTATTTTTTTCTCATCTGAAAAATGACTGAGATTCAGGCTGAACCAGGATGGTAGCACAGAAATCTTCCTGGTCCCTACACTGAACTCAGAAAAAGGAGTGTGGTCAAGCTAACCTGTGATTGGTGGCTATGGCAACCCTGGTGAGAAGATCCACACCCTTTGTCCTAAAGGGGGTTGGAAGTGGGGTAGCTGCATAAACTTTGTTGTTAAAACTAATTTTTGAGATGTTTTAAGCCTCTCCTCTCCCTCACTGCTCTCTCCTCTTTCTACTGTGTTTCCCACAGTCAGAAAACGGTGGGGGAAATCCACAGCGCCGCTGGGACAAGGTGGCTCAGAAGACCCTTGCCTCTTTGCTGCGGTTTCTCCCGTGACTACAAATCCTTCGGTGAGTCTTTAAGGCAAAATAGGTAGGGGTGGCATGAGAGTAGGGTATTCAGACAACACCATGTGTGTGTGCATGCCTGTACACACACACACACACACACACACACACACACACACACACCTCAATGCATGCTTGGAAAGTGGTTCTCGTCATACATTGTGAATCTATTCTGAGGATGAACACCATGAAGAGTTATGATACACTAAGACTTTGATCTTTGATGGTTGCAAGTCATTTGTTCGTTTCTCTTGATACTTTCTTTTCTTCCTCATGACCTACAGAAACCCCAATCCCTCAACAGATGACTAAGACATCTGGGACCTTCCGACTTAGACCCCCAGCCTCCTCTGTTCTGCTCAGCATTTTCCTCTGGCTCTTCCCATTCACTGCTCTCTAGCTTTGGACAGAGGAGCCCTGTATGATCGTTATTTTCAGAGTCAACTCTTTCCCCTCTGCTCCTGGTCACACCGTCCACCTTCGGGAACTCTGATAGGTCAGTGAGTCAGTCTTTCTAGTCCCAGCAACTGCTTTCTTGGACTGGATGATTTTAGTCCCCACACACAATTACTTTTCACACTTCGCTCTTAAGGAGGTGATCATGAGTCAACGGACCTCTCTTCCTGTGAGAGTTGTGCTTTTCTCTCCAAGCTTACTGTCTCCAGCTTGGTTGTCTGCCCACTAAAGTCTTGATAGTTAAGACTATCTTGCCAAAACGATTATTAATAAAATGCATTGGAGGCTGTTATTTTAGTCTAGTTCCTACACTAGTCCTCAGCCAATCAAATCTAACCAGGATGGCGTCATTCATATAAGGTGACATATAATCAAACTGAACCTAAAAACAAGTCAGGTTTCCAAAAAAGATTGGGACTCAGAGCAACCAATCAGAACAGGTCCACTCAACCCAAGTGTCATGAATGCCAACTTCTTTGATGTCACCGTGTAATAACCTCACTCCCCTCTGGTTCACTCTACAGTGAATTGTAATGAGTACGTTTACCTTGTCCAGAAAGATCCACTGTCTTCTGGTGTCCAGTCTTGCCATCAAAGAGCTCCATTACGTATTTGCCTTTGTCATTTGGAGTGGGCTCATTGATCTGCAGCCAGATCTGCTCCCCAGTGACCCCACTCTTAACTCTGTCGGTGTACTTTATGCCAGTCCCACTGTGAAGGCGAAAGAAAGTGTCATTCCTGATGAGCTTTCCTCTGTTTCTTATCAGGTGGTACACCATAAACCTTCATAGACACCCAGAAAACAGGAGGCCTGCTTATGCTGTTCTGCTTCAGGGTCATTATGGGCCGTAAAGCCCCGCACTTGGATTCCAAGGACCTGGGACTGATAGCCTGAACATCTACTTAACTGACTGCCCATAGCCTGGGCCCCAGGACAGATTTCAAGACCAGTACTTCTCAGTGGCACTAATTATCTTTGGTTTCGCTTGGGTTTATTTCTAGGATTAAGGAGATATTTAAAGGTGAAAGGCCAAACTACATATGATTTTGATGCATATTTAGCACAATTGTTCTGTGGCCAAACTGGATAAGTAAAGACACAATGATGGGGACTATCTATCTGGGCATGACATCTGTTGACATGTGTGGCTCCAAAGCTACTTCAAACACATAAATACACACTTGGTAGTAGAGTCAGAAGTGAATACAAACAGAGTGGCTGTCAAGACCCGTGAGGCATGTGCTGTGGTCCTGTGTGAGAACAAGTGAGATACAGCCCTTGCCCTTGTGATCCCACTGTGTAGAAACACTACTGTTACAGACCAAAGGAGGCCGTGGCAGAGTGCTGTTCTCATGTTGTCAAAGGATACTTCATGAAGATTTTGTGAAGCTGTGAGGAAATTTTAAAATGCACTGTAGGGCTAGTGGATGGAGCAGAGGCTAAAGGTACTTGCTGTCAAGGTTGGCAACCAAAGTGATTCCCTGAAGCTCACAGGGTGGAAGGAAAGAACTGATTCCTGCAAACTGTCCTCTGACCTCCGTGTGTGCTGTGGCAGGTGCGCGTGTACACACACGAAACAAAGCAATACATTCTTGAAAAAAGCAGTATGTAAAATTACCATATATACATACAGAGTGATAAAAAATTAGAAAGAAAGTTCTTTAAATGTGCATAAAGGGGCAAACAAAACTGTTGAGGATATCATATTATAAATCTATTTTCTAATATCTATAAGTGTATTTTCCAAAAAAAAATGTGCAAAGTTTATAGCTTAAATAAAATTTCAAAGCAAACTTATTTTTTCACCAAAAAATTTTAGCTTCCAGTAAATATTTAGTATTTTTCTTATAACACTACATGCTATAGGTCTATGTATTAATATATCTGTAAATATGTTAGCAATTCAATGCCATAAAACTAAAGTAAAGAAACATGTTTGTGCCCTGCAGGTTTTAGCCTGAATAACAGCATTTCTTAGAGCGTCAGACAGGAAGACAGTTAGTTCTCTGCTTTGCATGAGTTATTTAGTCTCTGTCTGGTTCGCACAATGGTGCTTTCTATATGTTAAGTACTTTAGACAGAATGGATTCCATTGTTCTGATTTTACACGAGAAAAATAAAATCCACAGAATAAAGTGACTTGCTAAGGAAGATCAAGACAGAGTCAAGGCTAACGCCCACTTTAAGGTGTGCTTTTTCTTCTCACTTGGCCTCAGACTTACGAAAAACAATGGTACAATTCTCAATCTCTGAACTTTGTGTGGGCAAATAAGTATTTGAGAAACTCATGTAGATGAGACCAAACCTGTAGGAAGTTCCGGCCTTGCTACTCCAACAGCAAGTTTCTTAAACTCTATTTTCAATGCTCTCATTTTAAAAAATAATTACGTTTTCAAAAGACTTATTTTTAATTATGTGTACATGTGATGCAGAAGCTATACACACGTGAGTGCAGGTGCCCATAGAGGCCAGGGGTGCCAGACCCTCTGCAGCTGGAGTTACAGGTGGATATGAACCACCTGACATGTTGCTAAGAATTGAACTCAGGTCCTCTGGAAGGTAAGTCTGTGCTCTTAACCACTGAGCTCTCTCTCCAGGCCTTGAATAAATGATTCTTTAACAAAGGACACAACTTAAAAACACTGCATTTACCTATTTGATTATTACTGTGTGTGTGTGTGTGTGTGTGTGTGTGTGTGTGTGTGTGTGTGTGTGTGTGTACATGCTACAATGCATGTGTGGAAGTCAGAGAACAATTTGTTGGAGTCAGTTAGATCCTGGGGACAGAACTCAGGCCCAAGTGCCTTTTCCCACGGAGCCATCTCACTGGCTCTAAGACACTAAGACACAGTGTTCTGATTGATGATCCAGCTAATTTTGCTCCCTCATTCTTCAGACTGATATATTATAATGTCCTGGGTGTCACAGAGGAATTTCCTAGATTTTGGACTATTTTAAATTTTAATTACTTCCCTGTACCGTTTTCATCAAAAAAGAGAACAAAGGACCAAAAGCCCAAGCATTCCACACTGGCATTTTGCTTCCTACTTTTAGAACTCAGAAAATGCCTAGCAGCCCAATCAAATGCCAGCCTGTATATGAGTCAACACTAACAAACGCTCTGTGGGACCCAGGTCTGGTTACCTGCTCAGCTTACCTTTTTCCCTTTTCTTTTTTTCTTCTTTCTTCTTTGTGGTGCTGGGGATTGAACTCGGGGCCCAGTGCACACTAGGCAAGTGCTTTAACACTGAGCTACATCACTAGCCTTAGGCTCTTTTTTAAATTAATTTTTAACTGATACGTGTTTTAATGGGGTGATGTCAGGTCTGCTGTTTTGGTTTTGTTTGCTTGTTTTGAGACAGGTTTCGTTCCATAGCACAAGTTGCTCTCCAATGTTTAATCCTCTTGCCTCTGTAGTACTGGAATTATAGGCATGCGGCTGTAATCCACCATCCTCGGCATCATGTGACTTTGACATTGTTTTCTGAGGCAAGATCTTGCTATGCGGCCCAGCTGGCTGGAAGCTCCCTACTAGCCCACATTGGCCTTGAACTTAAAATTCTTCTGCCTCTACTCTCCAAATATTGTTATCATAGCTGTGCACCACCATCTCCCCTTTCCTCACTCCTCCCCTCCCTTCCTCCCTTCCTTTTTTTATGTAGCCCTGACAGGCCTGGAACTCGCTATGTAGACCAGTCTGGCCTCAAACTCACAAGGTTCTGCCGTCCTCTGCCTCCGACTACTGGGCTTAAAGATGAGCACCACCACACCTGGCCTGCTTATAATTTCTTTATGATGAAAGCTTTCAAAATCCTTTCCTAGGGTTGGGGATTTAGCTCAGTGGTAAAGCACTTGCCTAGCAAGCACAAGGCCCTGGGTTCGGTCCTCAGCTCTGGGGAAAACAAAAAAACAAAACAAAACCCCAAAATCCTTTCCTATAGCTTTTTGAAATATGCAATGTATTATAGCTAGTCACAGTCACCACACTGCTGAGGGTGGACAAGCAAGATGCAAGATGCTAACACCTGATTATGCCAGCTGCTGTAACCAACAGTAATAAGCCAGGGATCTTCTCAGGATGAGACTTCTGTGGGATATGGCTACAAACACAGATGACAGGATACTTGGGGTCTCCAAGTACACATTGCTTCAGTTTTGTTTCAGATCACACGAGTTGAGTGAATGTATATAGGGCTGCAAGCACAGCTCTGGATGGCTGGCAGAATGGAGGTAGCTTATACGTGGCTGTCTCAGGTGGAGGCTACATTAAAGAGATGTCTATGAATAATGACACTTCTTCGATCACAAGAAAGATACTGTAGCTGCTGTGGAATAATCCAATCCTTCTGTGAATAATCACAATGAATACACTGAATATGTAGGTGGCTGCCGCTGCAAGGCCATAAGAGTTCATCTGTAGTCGGTGAGGGGGATCCAGGATAGAGCCCCTGGGATATCAGTTTTTCTGACTGTTAAATGGGAGGATGGTTGCTCACAAGGAATCACCAGCCAGGTGGGAACATGTTGGACACGCAAAATGGGATTGAGGTAAAAGCCACGAGCCTCAGGGCAGCACATAGATGAATAGAAATGGCTTAAGTTGTAAGAGCTAGTTAATAACAAGCCTGAACTATTCGCCAAGCATTTATAAGTAATCTTAAGTCTCCATGTTGTTATTTGGGAGCAGGTGGTTGGGACAGGAAAATGCCACCTACATATGACACCTACATATTTGGCCAGAATTTCCACATAAAATCTGATAAAACTTTAAAAAGGGTTCTAAACATATAAGAATGGAATCGGGCATGGCTTCCTGGTAGCCAGATTTTCTGACTGGGCTCTGTTGACTGGCAGCGAGCAGAGGCACAGATCCTGGCTCAGTGCTAGTGGCAAAAACTGCACAGCTCTTTTCAGAGGCCCTGCTACCAAAGACTTAAATGGTGTTTCTGAGCAGCGGGTGGCACGCTATTCAGTGGCGGCATGGACCCAGAAACTTCCTAGAGTTGGGGCAGTACATGACTCCCAGGGAACGGAGGGGGAGGAGCCAGCCACCAACATGCCGTGACTGAAGTTATGCTGCAGTCTTGTTGCTCATGCAGACGGAAAAGATGGAGATATGCAGTGAAGGCAGATTTAGACAAAAAGATCCTCTAAATGGTTTACATGTGTTTTAAAACATATATAGGCTTGGTAGAAAGAAAAGAAAGAATATATATAGTCATGGACTAAAAATATAGTTTTAAAATAATAAAGTCCTTAAAAGGAGAACAAAGTAATTTAAAAGAAAAAAGTCATGTAAAGATGGAATATACAAAGAGAGTCTGCATACTGCATGTTATTGTGTTGTCTGAATTTTTTGACTGCTGAGGAAGGAGTAATAGCGGCTAAGAGACATTTGATTTTAAATGCTGCTGGATTAAACCAACCTATATATTTTTAAAATTCTTGACTTCAAAATGGAAGTCAAAAGATACATTACTTTGGAAAAGAGGTTCTTCTTTTATTTCCATAGAAAATAAAAGACTGTGTATTTGTTCAAAGTTAAAGAAAATCAGATTTGATAGGGGAAAACCCCCCTGAAATCCTGACTACAGATATAAAAAATAAGCCTAGAAGAACTACAAGGCATATGATGCATATTTTACCTGCTCAAACACATAACAAAAAATTATCTTTGGCTGACTTGTGCACAATGCACAGTCTATACTTGTATTAATGCAGACTTGTATGTTACTTTTAAAAGTTTATATATTTTCAGAGCAAGGGGACCAGACACCAAGAAAAACAGATGGCCCAGGTGGTCCAGCATTTTTAAATGCCTCTATTACAGTCTCCTCAGAATTCTGCATTCAGAACAACTTTAGGCTGCTGACTGAGATAGTCTAGCCTCACAGAATACTACAGCTAAGACAATTATCCTAAATTTTCTCAGAGTCCCCCAAAGATTACCAGTGCCCCCAATCAATAGGAAGTACTCTGGAAAACTATGCCTACATTAACAAAAACTGGGTTATGGATATTTATTATCATTTAAGGGGGGTTGGTTACAAGTTGTTATGGATAATGGTCAGGAAAAAAACTAACCAAAGGAGATTAGAGTCAGGGATCTTGTTCTGAAAAGAAAAAGTGGGGATATAGAAATGATAGGATAAAAGGGTAGATTGTTGAATCTACTCTTTAACCAAAAAAGCAACTATTAGTCTTACATATTTTACATTGGTATAGATTTTTGTATATTGATACAAATTTAAAGTTAATTTTGTTATACTGTATGTATGTTTCTATTCTTGTTTAAGATATTATGTTTATGCAGCTTATTTAAAAATGTAATATATAATTAAAAATACAGATTGATAGTCATCTATAATAGTCAAACTTATAGTCATGTTAGGTATGTTTTCAAGGTCATAAGCAGATATATTTAGATAGATGGTCTTCAAACACTTCAAAGACCTACAGAATATGTCATTTAATATGTTTAATAACCTAAGGCTTTTCATGACAGTGAGAAATGTCTGCTCCTGGCAGCACAAATCTACTTCAGAGAAGATAATGGGCATAGAAGAAACTCCATATGGAGTTTGCCTTCTTTGTTGCAAAAGGTAGCCATTTGGGCAAAGAAACTGCCCTTGCCTCAATTACTGACAGTTATTGTCTAAACCAGGAGACTGCCAAACTTTGCCAAGACAAGGTAGAATAATCCTTCAAAATTTCCTGCTTCACAGAAATGTCTGTCAGATATAACAGGCCATAGCTGGATGCTCCAACGTTACAGAACCTAGGGTGACTGTCCAGGCAGTCAGATGTCCCTGTCATCCTTCTGGGGTCTTTGATGGAATTGAAGACTAGAGAGTCATAGTTACAGTTTTTTCTTAGTTATAATAAAAGATAAATTAAATGTGTAACTTTAGACTCATCAAGATAGAATATATAATTGAGTATTTTCTCTAATTTTGTCAAATACAAATGGACTGTATATTGTAACTATAATTCTTTTTGTTGTTGTTGTTGTTTGTTTTCTTTTTTGTTTTTCAAGACAGGGTTTCTCTGTGTAGCTTTGGAGCCTATCCTGGAACTCACTCTGTAGACCAGGTTGGCTTTGAACTCACAGAAATCCACCTTCCTCTGCCTACCAAGTGCTGGGATTAAAGGTGTGTACCACCATGCCCAGCAACTGAAATTCTTAATAACTGTTTTTGTTTTATAAAATCTTACTATGATAAAGTTAAAGCCTTCCTTTTTAGTTAAACAAAAAGGGGGAAATGCTGGGGATAATCTTTCTGTACACTACGAATATGTATTACTCTCATTGGTTAATAAAGAACTGACAGGTTGATAGCTGGGCAGGAAGTTAGGTGGGAAAGCCAAACAGCATGATGGGAAGAAGGAAGGAAGAGTCAGAAGAGTGGCCATCCAGATGGAGAACAAGTTGGACACACAAAATGGGATAGAGTTAAAAGCCACGAGCCTCGGGGCAGCACATAGATGAATAAAAATGGGTTAAGTTGTAAGAGCTAGTTAGTAACAAGCCTGAGCTATTCGCCAAGCATTTATAAGTAATCTTAAGTCTCCGTGTTGGTTATTTGGGAGCAGGTGGGTGGGACAGGAAAATTCTGCCTACATGTAACCATTATGGGCACCTCACTATGCATGCACTGAGGTAAAGGCCTAACCTGAAGTAAGGGAGGGGTTATGTCCTGTGTTCCTCAATATGAATCCTCTTACTTGAAAGGGGTTTTTGTTTTCATTCCTGTTGGCCAGTGGGGAAATGTCTACCTAGCAAGTCAGTTTGCATTACTTACTTGTGGGACCAGTTAACTTTCAAATCATCCAGGTAGTAAGTGACAAAGGAGTACAGCCGGATGCCCTCCGCTGTGCTCTGGATTTTCAGGTCTGTAGCCGACAGAGCTGAGGAGGAAAACGGCATAGTTCAAGCAGCTGTCAGCTCACCCTGGCAGGAGCACACTCAAGCATTCGCTCTGGTGAGGTAATAGTAACTTACCTATCTTCCTGCATACTTCGGTCATCAGTTCCTGGAAGGCTGAGGAGAGTCATAGGCAAAATGTTAGCATGAACATATTCCGTTTAAGGTCAAATTCCAAGCCATTAGCTTTCAAAAGTCCCTGTCTAGTGAAAGCCATTCAACAGACCGTAAGTGTCTTGGCCATTGATAATTAGTGTTTTTTGGTGAAAAAACTCGATTTTTGTAAGATTTTTTAAAGTTTCTGCTTGTTTTGACTTATGTTTTCCTTGAATTGTTTGTAATTAATATTGTATGAACAGTCTAGGGAAGGCCTCACTTGAGATTTCCAGGAAGCCTGTTGGCTTTGGAACACTCTTTCTTCTGAAGTCTGAGGAAGCCTTAGTTTGAATAACAGGAGTTTTCTTATCTGTGATATCAGTTCCTAATGAGTTAACTGTCTAGTTGCCTGGCCCTCCATGGCCCCAGCTCTTCTGGGAGCTGGAAGGCAAACTCTAAGGCATCTGCTGGTTGACTGCAATCCTGCCCTATTGAGGAGGAGAACTGGAGGTTGAGGGTGGGGTTATAAGTAGCTGCTTATTATCATGATATGTTAGTCCTTAGTAAATCTGAAAAATGGAAACCACTGCTTTGCTTTGCTAATAACTGCAAGGCTTCAAATTTCATACTTAAATCTTCCTTACCACCCTTAACAATGGGCTCTTTTTTAGTATGCTCCTCACAGAAGGTTTTGATCCTAGAACATTTTTGTAGAGTTGAGAGAAAAATGATGATTTAAATTGGAAACAGACTTCTAGTGGTGTGTGGGCTATAAATTCTCTAAGGATCAAAAGTATACTTTTGATTTCTAGGAAGTCCAAAAGAGAAAATATTTTTGAAAAAGTACAGTAGTTTGCTCTGCTGGAATTTCAATTAAACCAAAAATCACTGGACACAAATCAGCATGACTTCCGTGGCTAGCCCAGCCCCAGTCATCATTCTGGTAGCTGCAGAACCCATGAGACAGATTCCAGCAGCTGGTAGAGTCACCTTCATCCACAAGTTTCAGTCTGCTCTTATCTTTTCCTCGGTCATCTTTCAGGATAACTTCATAAAATCCAGCATCTTTCTTGGAAAACTGAGGAGAAAATGAACATGACAGTTTATCATAGCTCAGATTTGGTTGTTGTATTTGTGTGTATAAGTGTGTCTCTCTGTGTGTATATATGCATGTGTGTGTGTGTGTGTGTGTGTGTGTGTGTGTGTGTGTGTATTGTGTGGGTATGCATAGATGTGCATATAACATGCATGTGCTTAGAGGCCAGAGATCAACCTTGGGTATTACTCTTCAGGAGCCATATACCTTCTTTGTTTGTTTCCAACCTTTTATTTTTATTTTATGTGTATGAGTGTTCTGACAGCCCATAAGTCTCTACACCATATGCATGTTGGGACTGGGTACAGTGACATAGATTTCTAAGGAAATCAGGCCCAAACTATTTTAGTTGAGAAAGGATTACAATAAAGTGAATAGAAGAGGACATTGGATCCCCGAGGACTGGAGTTACAGGTAGCTGTGAGTCACCACGTGAATGCAGGAAATCAGATCCAGGTCCTCTGGAAGAGCAACCAGTACTCTTAACCACCAAGCTATCTCTCCAGCTCCAACCTTGTTTTCTGAGATAGAGTCTCTTACTAGGACCTGGTGTTCTACAGTTTGGCTAGACTGGCCACCAAGCCCCGGGGACCCCCTGACTCTTTGTCTCCACCATTGGGATTGTAAGTAAGTTCCTATAGCATTCAGATGCAAGCTGCTGTGAGTCCTTTGAGCATGGAATGACTGATGAAGCTAGTTTCTGTTGGGAGAATTGTAATACATACCCAGCAGCTTTCATGTCTGTAGCCACCCACCTCTGTGATGAGCAGAGTACAAATGCCATCCTTAAAGTCATGCTTCTCATCCACTGATATCTCCCGCTCGTCTTTGTACCACACAATGTGAGTCTCTTTTTTAATATTTGCCACCTGTAAGAAGAATCATAATTGCCCTCCTTGAAATAAAGAAATAAGTGTTATTTTTATGATGGTAAGCAGTTTTTAATACATTGGGATATTAAAGGAAAAACCCTGAACCAGAGTCAGAAGATATAGATTTAATAAAGAAATCAGTACCAAATTACTGTAGTAGAGAAAGGGTTACAATAAGGTGAACACCAGTGAACAAACCTAAATCAATAGGGTCTCTATTTCCAGTGGTAAAAGTTGTTTTAATATCTTATTTCCACGACAATTCAATAATGCTGCACTGGGTAGTGGAACTGCTGTTTTGCATGGATATACAGGACTGATTGGAATAGACTGGGAACTATCCCATTGCCAGGCTCATTCTCAAAGCAGTGGAGAGATCAGTAATCAGGGCAGCTTGTACAATACCAAATTGCTTCAAAACCAGCATAAAATTGATGCCAAGGAGAAGTACTGTGTACCAGTTAAAGCAAGGGATATGCTGTGGGATGTCTTGTATGCTGTAAATATATGTTGCTATGATGGATTGATAAATAAAATGCTGGTTGGCCAGTAGCCAGGCAGGAAGGCTAGTGTAGGTGGGACAAAGAGGAGGAGAATGCTGGGAGGTGGAAGGCGGAGGCAGGGAGACGCTGCCAGCTGCCGTGATGAGAAGCAACATGTTAAGACACCGGTAAGCCACGAGCCATGTGGCAATTTATAGATTGATAGAAATGGGTTAATTTAAGATATAAGAACAGCTAGCAAGAAGCCTGAGCCATTAGGCCATACAGTTTGTAAATAATATAAGTCTCAGTGTGTTTACTTGGGGGACGCGAGTGGGAGAGATTTGTCCTGACTGTGGGCCAGGCAGGACCAAGAAAACTTTAGTTACAGGGATATCAAAGAAGTAAGTACTCTCCAACTTAAAAAAAAAAGTCATTGGATCAATGTGGCATAATGGTATAGTACAATAGTCCCACTGATATCAGAGGATTCCATGAATGAAGGAGTTCGTAAGCAGCCTGGCTAACTTGTGAGACCCTGCCTCCAGTTCAAAGTTCTTAAGTAGATATGAAAAGAAAGGATGTCATATATACTAACATAAATGCTTAAATAAAAATAAAAATCCTAAATCCAAAGAAAGACAATTCCTACAGCATTAAAATAGTCTTCCAGCAGAATGAAAAGGATAAGTAAGCGCCAATATATATCTAAAAATTTATAAAAGAGATAAAGGAAGATTACAAATATACATATAAAGGAAGTAAGGTTTAATAACTTACTTAGAAATTTTGAATTTTGCATTTAGATCCTAACCCTTACATACATCATAATATAAATCTCAGATGGATAAAACCATTGCATATTCTTAGAGGGATCCTAAGCTTTTTCTACAACATTTTTCACAAAGAAGAATATATTCATGTATTTCTTGAAAATTAAAATTGTATGAAAGAGTAAAAACTTCATACAAATCAGAAAAACAAAACAAAAACCCCTAAAGACCCCACTGGCCAACTTGTAAGAGGATATATGACTGACTGCAAGAAAAACATGGAGAGATGTTTACTTGTGGTGGTTTGAATGAGGATGAATTCTATGAGCTCATATATTTGAATACTGGGTCCCCAGTTAGTGGAACTGTTAGGGAAGGATTAGGAGGTGTGGCCTTGTTGGTGGAGGTGTGTCAGTGGGGGTGGGCTTTGAGGTTTCAAAGGACTCCATGCCATTCCCAGTGTGCTCTCTCTGCTTTTTGCTTGCAGTTGGACATGTGCATGCTCAGCTGTTTCTATCACCATGCCTTTGCTCTGCCATTATGGACTCTAACCCTCAGGAACCATAAGCTCAATTAAACACTTTCTTTTATAAGATGCCTTGGTTATGGTACTTTATCACAGCAACAGAAAAGTAATTAATATGTTCATTATAAACAAGAGTATGTATGTTTTGCTACATTGAAAGAATTTCAGCTGGGTTGTGGATGTAGCTCAATGGTAGAGTACAAAGCCCTGCAAAACACACACACACACACACACACACACACACACACACACACACACACACACACACATTTCATCTAGTAAGTGAACATAAGAAGCAATATTGTTTAGACAATAGTGAAGTCAATAAACAAAAGGCCATTAACTGGTTTCTAAATTATAGAAATCTATTGTGCTACTAGGAAACATTGATAAAGATAACCAACTTGAAAAATCTGCATCTGAACTGGGAAAATGAATGCTCTGAACTTGCTGAGCACACCAGTCTTTAAAAAAAATTATTTAGAGTGTGTGTGTGTGTGTGTTGTCTGCATGTATGTATGTGTACCACACGTGTGTCTTGTATGCACAGAGCCCAGAAGAGGATGTTGGATCCCCTAGAACTGAGCTACAGACAGTTTTGAGCTACCGTGTGTGTGCTGGGAACTGAGCCTGGGTCTTCTATAGGAGCAACCACTGCTCCTTTTTTTTTTTTGATCAGGGTCTCACTTTGTAGCCTTAGCTGGTCTAGACCTCATACAGATCCACTCTGCCTCCAAGTGCTAGGATTAAAGGCCTGGGCCATCATACCCCCCTTGGCCAGTGCTCTAGTCCATTGAGCCATCCCTGTAGTCCTATCTCTCTGAGGTTTCTTGAAGCCAGAGTGCCTCCAGCTCTTGCCCTAGGTGGACTTTGTCTCCTGGGCTGTCATCTTGGGTAGCAATGGGAATGTTTGTCTATGTGGACTCCTGTAGTGGACTAGTGTCCAACATTGGTTTGTGGGCAAGCTGAGGCTCTTCCTCGATCCTTTGGGGTAAAGCACCTGGGGCTCAGGTGAGTTTCATGAGTCTAGATGTTTAGCTCACATACTCCATGGACTATAAAGTACAACAGTAAGTTGCTAAATTTGCATAAGTTGCCCCAGTGATGAAGCAAAGAGCTATGGTAGAACGTTTGTTCAAATCGGACAGAGATGACTGAGGTGGGCCTTGAGATGAGCTGAAGGCCATTTTGGGCCTTGGAACAGCAGCCCAGATAAGGTGATGTGTGAACAGCCATTACTACTTTTAGGTTCCCTTCGATGTTCAGAACATGGGACAGGATCTGGTTCTGGGGATGAAAAGTCATTGGAAGAGGACACCAGAGCTCACCTCCGAGAGAGCCACAGGTGGCACAAAAGGAGAAGGACCAGACACATGGCTTCAGGGAAGGCGTGGTTTATAGAGCCCCGTGCCGAGGAGATGCTGAGCGAGAGCACAGGCCAGGTGCTCAGAGGGTGACCGGGAAGCTGCAGGTTCTTGTGGCTGCCGAGAGTGAGTTTCCCAAGAAGCTTATTCCTTCCCGAGAGGCAGAAACCTAGATTTGATTTTTCCTGCATCGTTCTGCTGAGTTCCTGCTTCTTTGACTTTATCAGTCCTGGCAGGGGCCGGGTAGTTTGGCTCCATGACTATGCCAGATCCATGGTCCTTGTCTGGAGTCACTAGCCATCATGACCCCACTCTAATTAACCTAACAATTCCTTCTCTAAAATTTCTTTTTAATTAGGGGGAAACTTCTTTTCTGAGTTGGGCAGTCTTGCTATATAAGCCCTAGGCTGTCCTTGAGTTTCTAGGCCTAAATGATCCTCCTGAGTAGATATGATGGTGCCACCATGCTCAGCTCCCCCAAACTCTTAATTCAGGGTTAGGGACTAAATTCAGGGCCTTGTACGTGCTAGACAAGTGCTCTGCCGCTGAGCTACATCCCCAAACCCTCTAAACCTTTCATGATTTTCTCAGCTAAAAATGATATGCTAAGATGTAAGACAGCTTAGAATGCTATTTTGAATCCCCTCCTCACCGACCTTCCCAGCGGCTTTATAAGACCATTGCCGATTCCTCCATTGACTCCAGTCTGTAGTAGAAGATTTTAAGGTGTGTCACTTTTGTTTATGTAGCATTTGTTTAACTCTGTGAAGCTGCGTTACTGTGCCTGTGTAAAACACCTGATGGTCTAATAAAGAGCTGAACGGCCAATAGCGAGGCAGGAGAAAGGACAGGCGGGGCTGGCAGAGAGAGAATATATAGAGGGAGAACTCTGGGAGGAGGGATCAAGAAGCCAGAGAAGGAGGAGGACTCCAGGGGCCAGCCACCCAGCTACACAGCAAGCCACAGAGTAAGAATAAGATTTACAGAGGTCAGAAAACAGGAAAAGCCCAGAGGCAAAAGGTAGATGGGATAAGTTAAGGAAAGCTGGCAAGAAACTACGCTAAGCTAAGGCTGGACATTCATAATTAAGAATAAGCCTCCATGAGTGACTTATCTGGGAGCTGGGTGTCGGGCTCCCACAAAAGAGTAAAATACCAATAACACCACCAGTCCCCAAAGGCCGCACAGAGGTGAGACTGAGAGGCACAGCTGGACACACTCAGCTACGTTTCTGTGCAAACCTCATGACTTAGAAAAGTTCACCAAATAAGGCAGGAGTTGGGGCGGGCCAGGAATCATCTACCCCTTAGAATGCAGGTTTAGCCTAAAGCAAAAACAATGTGTGGCATTCTGAGATTGACAGAGGTGGCCATCCCTAACCCAAAGTCCAAACCAAGCGCTCCACAATCTACAGGTTTCTGAGCATATGTGTCTTAGTTAGGGTTTCTATTGCTGTGATGAAACACCATGACCAAAAAGTAAATTGGGGAGGAAAGGGTTTATCTGGCTTACACCTCTACATTGCTTTTCTTCACTGAGGGACGTAAGGACAGGAACTCAAACAGGGCAGGATCCTGGAGGCAGGAGCTGATGTAGAGGTCATGGAGAGGTGCTGCTTACTGGTTTGCTTCCCATGGCTTGCTCAGCCTGCTTTCTTATAGAACCCAGGACCACCAGCCCAGGGATGGCTTAGCCCACTCTGTGTGATGTCCTGTTTGAGTGTTGATCACTAATTGAGAAAACGCCTTATAGCTGGATCTCATGGAGGTATTTCCTCAGCTGAAGCTCCTTCCTCTGTCGTGACTTTAGCTTGTGTCAAGCTGACACACAAAACCAGCCAGTAGAGCATGGAGCCACAAGTGGAACATCCCACACCACAAAGCCTTGCTTCATGTGCAAAATTATTCCAAACAGTGCATGAAATGCCTTCAGGCTACGTCTAAAATATATGTGAAACATAAGTGAATTTTCTATTTGGATTTGAGTTCTCTCAGACATTTTATTATGCAAACAAAATAAAAAAATATTCCAAAATCCAAAATAAAACAAAATTCACCCTAAACCCCAAGCACTTCAGATCCAAATCATTTTGGAGAAGGGACCCTCAAGTTGTGGCTTAAAGAGTCCATGTCATTCTGTAGCTCGGGGGTGACAAGAGGCCAGTCACCTTCCTCATCATATGTTCACGTTGTTTTACTCTGTTTCTTACAGCCAAAGGTTCCATAACATTAAAGGGTAAAGTATCTGCTGCCCATCACTTTATAGTAAATAAAGGAAGTAGAAAAATAGATCCTTGTTCCACATTCAGTTTTATCTTTATTTCTCCTGAATAAAATATTAAAAGTGCATCCATCTCTTACCTTGCATTTCAATAGCACGTTACATTCGCCAGTCACTTCCCAGCTCAAGTACTCAGCAAAATGTGGGCCTACGAAATTTTAACGACATAAGCAGTCTTTTAATCAGCTGCAAATGCAAGATCAAAGCTCATCCTTGAATCTCGAGGTGACTTATGTCTGAAGTCAGATTTTCTTAAAATGATGGATTTAGTTTTTAATTTTTTAATGTCTACATATTTAATAATAACTATTTAAATTTTTTTTTACCAAGCATTAACATAACCAGTGCTGTTCATTTAAATTTGCTATAGAAATAGCCTTGGAATACTTTATACAAAAAAAAAAAATCTATTTTTACCTTGTTTCCTGATCCATTCTTGTCGCTGGAATTCAGCCTCTTTCTGGAGCTTCTTGTAAACTAGAAATTGAAAAACAAGGAAGTGTGGAGTTGAGCTGAGCAGCACAAACGCACACGATGCACGTGAGGACGAAACGCACGTGACGGCCACTGTGCTGAGTCGGCTATTTTCATTACTATGGTACTCAAGATTGTGATGGCCCTGCCTGTTCTGATTTTTATAGATAGAGAGACAGCCTTTGAAAACTAACTTTGTGTGTATGTGAGTCTGTGAGTGAGTGAGTGTGTGTGTGTGTGTGTGTGTGTGTGTGTGTGTGTGTGTGTGTGTGTGTGCGCGTGCCAGAAGGCCAAGACAGGGTCTTACTATGTAGCCTTGACTGTCCTGGAACTTAAGAGCAGGTTGGCCTTGAATTCACAGAGATCTGCCTGCCTCTGCTTCCCAAGTGCTGAGATTAAAGCCATGCACCACCACACCCAGCTCTCCACCTTATTTTTTTAAGACAGGGTTTTTGGGGTGAGAGATGGCTCAGTGATTAAGAGCATACATTGCTCTTGCACAGGACCTGAGTTCAAGTCCCAGCACCCAAAACTGGACAGCTGATAACTACCCATAACTCCAACCTACTTCTCTGCATACTCACACAAAAACACACACATACTTGAAAATAACTTAAAGAAAATCTTTCCAACTAAACCTGGAGCTCACTGATTTGGTGAGACTTGCTGACCAGCAAGCCCAGGGATTCTCCTGTCTGTTTCCCCAGCACTGGGAGAAGTATATGCTGCTATGCTGGGCTTCTGATGGACCTGGTGGTCTGAACTCAGGTCTTATTTTTTGCACAGCAGGCACTTTACTGATAAAAGTATCTCCCAGGCCCAAGACTAAATAACTTTTCCAAGGTTATAAAGCTGGGACATGATGAAACCATGTTACAAATATAGACATCTATCCGTCTTTCACAGCTTGTGAAGCGCCACTTTTTAAACCATGGTGGTTTTCACAGACATTTATTACAGCTGACCTCTACTGTCTAGTTATAATATTTGATTGACAGATTTGGAACACATTCCATACTTTTACATTTTTTCTTTCCAAAGTTTAATAATTTAGAGCAATCACAGATTGTTAAAATAGTGTTGTGGTTTGTTACAGATAAATATATATATAGCTCTGGCTATACTGCAACTTCCTAGATTGGAGGATTTAGTAATGCATACTTGTTTACATATGAAACTAAGTCCAGCCAAGCCTGAAAGTCAGGAACAATTTTGGGTGTTCTTTTAAAGTTATGTTCATTTTGAGGCAATGGGATATCATGGAAAATATTGACTAGATTTTGTAATTTGATGCAGGAATTCATTAAACAGTTCCAGACACCAGTCACGGGACCTCTTTTAAGCCATGAGGTATTTGCCCTGAAGTAAGTAGCCAAGTGTCCATTGAGTGTCCCTCAGAATTCTTACCGTCTCCAATGAGAACAAGAGTAGAATGGCCGGTTGCTTTCCCATCTTGGATCTGGAATGTGTACGTGCCCTCGTCCTCATCCTGCAACTTCTCCATGAACATTTCAATCACGCCAGTGTTTCGGTCAATGTGCATCTTGTATTTCTTCAATGTAAAAAGATAAAAACAGGGAAATCAGAGAGGCAAACATTTGAAGGCAATAACCCCCAATGAAATCAAAACAAACCACAAAGAATCAGAATTTTAATATTTCTAAACAACTAAGCAAATTGTTCAAAGATCTTATTCCTGGAAAAAGGAGCACTATGTGGGTGTATGAATTAAACAGGAATTGACTATGAAGAGATTGAGACCTCAACAATAGGCTCACCCAAACAAGACCTTCACAGTTGATATGCAGTGAGGATGGGGGACGCCTACAAGGCCTCATCCCTAAATGAGAGTTGTAGGCAAGCAATGGCTGCCAAGTAAGGGAGAAACAGTCTTGTCCCAGGACAAGCCCCAGAGGTTACCCAGTCCCGGGCAGTCATCCCTAAACACATCTCTATACAAGCCACACTAAAGGGACTCGGCAGGTTGTTTAAGAGGTCATGGATCTAAATTATCTAAGTGTGAGCAGGAGGGCATGGAGGAGGTGGAAAGGGGGTTAGGGAGTAGAAATGATGTCTACATAATACAATGGATGAAATTTTTAAAAAATTAAATAGACTATTAAAAATAAATAAGTATTTTTAATTATAAGAAGTAGGGAGGAAGCCTACCGGCCCTTCAAAAATTTCCTTCTCATTAAATATATAGTTGACTTTGGCATTGCCAGACAGCTTCTCAGCCTGCATCCAAAACCGGACCTGACCTTTCTCCAAAATTTCAACTGCCAACTCTGACTTAGTTGGGACAGCTAGGAAAAATAAAAATAGACATAGTAAGTCATCATACTGGCAAACAACAATATTGATACAGACATTCTAACGAGTGAAAAAAAAAAAGTCAATACCAATAGCAATGTAGATCCCTGATTCCTGCAAGACCCAGAGACAGAGAGCTTGTTACAGGGAGACCTCAGAATAAGGGACAGAGGCCTTGGCTGTCATCCTTGGGTTGTCACCCCTTTTGAATCATAGTTGTCCCAATTGTCAAAACAGGGAAGATGAAGTGGTCTATAGGAGACGTCTGGTTAACATCTGTGATTCTTCTGCAGCTTTAGTCGAGGTTATTCAGGGGCATACACAAGGACAAATGAAAAAAGTTCTCAGCTGACCCAGGATGGCCAGCACCTAGCCCCAAGTCTGCTAGGAACAAGCTGTGTAGCGGCCAAACTGCAAAGATGCCTTTCTTTGCATTTTCCTCTATCCACTCCACAGAACCAGTTACAGATTTGCTCTGCTTGGACATTCTGCACTTGGAGAGAGAAGACGGGCTTTGGAGCTGAAACATGACCTTGAACAGTTGCTCTCCTCCTTAAGCCTATGGTCCTCACCTGTCAACACGGACATTGTATGCCTCACTTGGCCGTCAGACCATTGACTATGCTACAACAGGATACGTTAAAATTGTGGATAATGATCAGTAACTGGAAGTAAGTTCTCTGTCCCCCATCAAGGTTACTGATGAGAAAGCTGAATGCTAAGTAAGAGTCATGACATCTAGGCCACAGAGCTAAGCCCATGATGATCCCTGCTATCCTGTGCTGTTCTTTGTCCCAGTTCCATTTCTCTGATGAACACTGTGGTTTTCCAGTGTGAATGAACGTGAGTGGAGCAGATAAAAGACAGTTCCCAAGATCAGAGTCTACCCCTTGCTACAAATAAGTCTTGAGACTAGAAAGTATCTTTTAGAAAAGTCTGGAGATCCCATCATGGAGGTCCTCATACATGGGTGATGTGACTTGGAGTGGCAATGTGAAGGAAGGGATTGCCCTTCTTGAGAGCCTTTGATGGTCTGTCTGCCCTGAGTCACAAGAATATCGTTTAGAGGGAAACAGACCACGATGAACGGCCACTGAGGGCCGGAGCAAACACGGCAAGTACATACATGGAGGCGGACTCTGGCATGGTTACGGGAACAGCGTTAGAGTCAGCCCCTTGGGCTTCATCAGCTATGTGCGACTGGTCTAGTTACTAGCTCCCCTGGCCTCATGTTCTTAACCACTAAAATTAAACCACCACAGTACGAACCGTTTCCGGGTCAGTGTGTGTGCCAATGACACATTCTATCTAAATGCCATAGAAAGGGCCTGGCATGTAATAAACGCTCTATGCATGTTGGCTATTAATATTTTGGTATCTGTTTTTTCCTCCAGTTGCTTCAACAATACCCTATAATTACAAAATATAGTGTGTTGACAACCAGGAGACACATAGCACTGTATCTATATTTATGGATATATGCTTGTGTGTACACAATACATTGTTTGTGTGGGTGGGACTTGAGCAAATGTCTACAGATGGAGAGCTGTGAGGCAGGATGTTAATGATACTACATATTCTTCTACCCTCTGACTGCACACTGCAGTTTAATATTGTTACTGGCAAAGCAGGCCACATTATTTCCAGTTTTTACATCTATACTTTTTATTTATCTTTTCCTTTTCTCAGATCCAAATTACCTTCTCTGGCAGTTTATTTGTTCTAGAAAACATATTATTTGTAGATTGAAGGCATATGCTTAATGGCTTTCAAAGTAGTCTTGAAAATGGCATTACAGAAGAAAGTTTGCTATATTAAAGGATAAAGGAACAGAATATTTAAAATTTTTACATTCAATGAGAAATGAGATACTTAAAACCTTATAACAATAAAAATAACTTAATGTCTCCCTTGACCAAGAGGAAGTGGGTGTGACTTAAGGAATTAGATTTGCTGCTTTGACCCTGGTGGCGGATCTCTGAAAATGGCCCTTTAGTGACGTCATCACTGTGGCTCGGGGAAGAAAACACTGGAACTGTCCTATTTAAATGCGGTTTCAAGGCTCTAAGAAAAACTTCCCTGGACTGGGGACCTGATATTCACCCTCAGAGTTTAAGACACGTCCTTGCGCTGGGCTCTCCCTGGGTGCCAACCGTGTTGTCACAGCTGGTCTCTGACAAGGAAGCCAGAGTTTGCTGTCACCCTGGCTCCAAGCAGCAACAATTATGATCTTAGGCTTACACAAGATCAGACATCTCAGTGGAGCTGAGAACAACGTGAGTCGGTTATGACTTCCTTAATTATACTGTCTCCAGGTCTACATGATCGTCAAACCGCAGGAGGCCCAGGTAATGTGAACCTGACAGTGACGCCCTGTCTTGACTTCTTCACCACCATCTTTTAACCTAAATGGAAATGTTGTTGGGGAAATGGTTGCCTGGATACGTGAACAGTGTTTACTAACTAGATTAGTGCTTCTTTCCATTTCTACCAGGCTTGAGTAGAGGATGTAAACATGTACCTTAGAAACAACTGCTTATGAGGTCCTAAGAACTGTCACAATAGCCAAGCCTAGAAAAAGAAACCAAAGCCTGGGCAAATGGAGATAATTTGCTCAGGGTCACAGAGCAAAGAATGTCCAGGGAGGCCTCCACTATCCCTATAGTTTTCAAAATTAACTTTTCCAACATCATCTACAATAATATTTTCCAGTTTTATGGCTAATAAACACACATTAATGTCATGTGCTAAGATCTCCTGAAACTCCATAGTTACGAAGGAAAAAATATGTGTAAGCATTGAGGAATCTTTTAGATTCTTAATTTAAAAGAGGAAGCATATCTGACCACTTTTTAATCTGCTTTCTCAAACACTAGATTGTGTTTCTCTGGAGGCATCTCTACTTTGGCCAATGGGTAAGAGATCGTTTCGGGCCAGTGAGCCTTTTGGTGTTGTTTTCTTTCTCTTCTCTTAGGTGTCAGCTGTGGACTTTAATCTTTTATATGGAAGGTTCCTTATTTAGGGGCTTGTAAATAGTTCAGAAGGGCTCTTCTTCTGAATGAGGCCCTTTACCCTATTTTCCAAGAGTATAAGAGTCTTTAGATTGCCTTTGTTTAGAGTTTTGAGTATTCTATTACAAGCCAACATTATAGACTTGCCTAAGACATATAAACGAGTATGTTTAGGAGATACCGATGTGATCGCAGAACACATGGGTCAAAACTGAAGAACAGAAACCACTCTTACTGCACCTGCAGACCCTCACACTGCCCTGTAGAATGAAGCATGAGATGTGTTTTCTTTCCATTCCTTTTCCTTTCTCTTTCCTCCCGTCTATCTTTGTGCTCTCTCTCTCCCTCCCCCTCCCCTCTCTCTCTCCCTCTCTCTCTCTCTCTATTTGTGTGTGTGTGTGTGTGTGTGTGTGTGTGTGTTTGCTTTCTTATAGACAGGATCCCAGGTAGCCCAGGCTGGCCTCTAACTTCCTATTTTTCTGTATAGCCCCGAATGACCTTGAACTTCTGATACTCCTGCTTCTTCCTTTCAAGTGCTGGGATAACAGGTGTGTGCCACCACATCTGGTTCAAATCCAGGCATCTGTGGGTGCTAGGAAAGCACTCTACCAACCACAGCCCCATGGAGTACTTTTTTTCTATGTTAATATCTTGGCATTTCTGGAGAAAAATGGCAAAGAAAAGTGCCATTTCTAGAACGTGCTTCTGTGGATACTGGCTTGATATGTATACTCTAAGGCCACTCCTTATCTCCCTCTTCACTCCCTCCCTCCTTCCATGCCTCCTTATCCCCCACTTTCCTCCCTTGGACAGGTTCTACCATGTAGCTCCGACCAGACCATGAACTCAGGACTCCCCTGCCTTTATCACCAGCTCCTTTTTCAAACTCTTAGGTCAAGACAGGGTTCGTTGTTAAATTATCTAATCTGGCCTTGAGCTTGAACTCTGTAGGCCAGGCAGGCTTTGAACTTGCCTTCTTCCTGTCTCCGCCTCCAGAGTGACTAAAATCACAAGACCGTGCCATCAGGGAAGGCCCTGACCTGCTCTTAATCTCCTCTGAGCTGTCACTTGCTCTACTGCCGAAGCTGAACTCTGGGTAAAACTGCTGAAATCTGAGACTGCGCTGAGGACACTTACTTGGGAACTTGTGTTCCTGGCTGAGGGCAAGCAGACGCTTCATTTCTGTGTGGAGAAACAGAAGGCAAAGCTTTACCGACTAAAACAAGTATCACTGGATGATGACTGGAAAATTAAAGCAACATTAGACTTAGGGGGGAACGGGTTTTAAATGGATTTTACCTTCTTCATCTATCAAGTAGCTTGATGCTATCCCATCGGTGTCTGTCACATCACAAGAATAGGTGCCCAGGTCGTCCGTCCCGAGGTCTTGGAAGGTCATTTTTGTCCTTCAAAACAAAGTACTTTTCTTAGAAATGAGACTGTCCATGGTCTGTGGGACTGTCAACTCATCCTGTCTCTGATCCCCTCCACGTGATACTCCCTTCGTGTGGAACACTTGTCATGTCCCACCCACCTCCTCACCCCCACTGTGCTAAAGCTTGCTAGCTCTTGGTGTCTTGGGTTGAATGTCATTCCCACTAGGAAGACTTTTTTGACCTTTTGTAGGATGATGGGGCACGGGTGTGAATGCTTCATCTCCACGCTATGCTGCAGATATATAATACACGTCCTACAAAAGGACATTTTCCTGATTAGCTGGCTTTTCTCCTACAGGGCAGACCGCAGGTGACTCTGGGTGTTCCCGTACTTCTGCCATTCCTGTACTTCTCTTTTTAGAACTGACACTACACTGGATTGTCCCCCTGTGTAATGTCTGTGCCTTCAGAGCTAGGCTTCTGTTTGCTTTCTGTTGTGTTCCTGGCACCCAGCACCTTGTCTGGAACACAGCATATGAATTAATGAACAGATCAATACTCTATATTGTTGTGTTTTCTCACTTAGGCAAGCTCTATTACCAGTTGTGGTACCATCTAAGATCAACTAAACATTTAAATGTTAAATGAATAAACCAGAAGAAAAGTTGATTGTTTTTTTCTTAAACCAAATGTGTCTACTCCAAGAACTGTACATTAGAAAGATTATTTTGAGGCCGAACTGGCTATATAGTTTTATAATGCCACATATAAAATAGTTGTGACTTTATCTTCTCAGGCCAAGGAAGTTAGGCAGGGGACAAAAAGTGTATTTCATGTTCTTACAGTGAAAATGGAATGTGTTATTAGATAGAAATATTCCTTACTTATTGCCTTTGCTTTCAACTTCCACTCGTGGAGAGTCTTCAGTAGGTACATAATCTTTGGACCAGACGAATTCTGACTTGGGAGTCATCTGATCACATTCATAGTTCAAGGAAATGACTCCATCATCGTCCACATTTACAACAACCTCTTTGGTACCTAAAAGGTCATAAAAAAAGGCATTTGGGACTTGTGATAGAAACAGTCACAGAAGAATTCTTGTGTTGAGATGCCTTCCTTTATTTAACCTTAGACCAAGGCAGTGTCTCTGGGCCAGGGATAGGTCCCCAGTGTTCACTGCAATCATCCTCCATACTGTATACATGGAATTAAATGAATATGTCATGTTTCCTATGTAAAGTCAACACCACAGCCCACCTTGTCTGTCCAGAACTGAGGAAAAGTTGATTGAAATGGAGGGCACAGTGAGGGAATGGATTTGATTGTCATTGTGAACAAAGTCTTGGGCAAAAGAAGATTCATGACTTTTGTTTCAATAAATCTCCCAAATAAAATAAAATAACTCTAAATCATTTTAAAATCTATAAATCTTATATCTCTTTAACTTTATGTCCATTTAAAATTTAATATGGTTCAGTAATAATCTTCTCTAGCTCGCTGTCATTTCTGATGTAGGGAGACATCTTCAAACTGATAAGGTTGTGGGGTGAGTAGAGAAAGTTCCCACATACATTCTTCCTTTGAAAACAACGTAACTTTGGATGAGAGAATGTAGGCAATACTTATTCTTTCTAGTTTCTCCTGAAAATTTCTCTCTAGGTTTTTAAAAAATGTCTTTCAATCCTTTTCTGGTGATCTACTAGATACAGAATTTATTAAAGCACTGGCATCTAATATAGCAATTTAAAGTTTGTACAGCAGCACATCTATTGCCCAATCCAGTTTGAAAGAAGCAAAATGTGTTCAATTTATACAAATCCAGTCATCAGCTCAACTTGATTTGTTTTAATATATTAGGGAAATTGTATTTAGTCTCAGGAAGATATAGTTTTATTCTTTTTCTTCCTTTCTTTCTTTTTTTTCCAAGACAGGGTTTCTCTGTATAGCTTTGGAACCTGTCCTGGAACTTACTCTGTAGCCCAGGCTGGCCTTGAATTCACAGAGATCCACCTGCCTCTGCCTCCTGAGTGCTGGGATTAAAGGCGTGGGCCACCACCACCCAACTTTTTTTTTTTTCTGTTATTCTTTTTCAAAGTACTAGAAAACTTTCCTATAGATTTGTCTCTAGATACTATCATTAAAGTTCGTCATCCTGGGCACTGTCCAATATAATCATCAGTGTGGGTGGGGGAGTGTCAAAGTCCTGCTAGGGACGTTCAAGAGGAAACTGAGCCCAGACAATGAGTAACTCAGGATCTTGGATCCTGATTCTGATAGTTCATATAATTTGTGTTCTTACTGATGGCAATGCACACTTTAACTTCCACATCTGCATATACATCCACAAAGTGACGGTTAACACATGTAAAGAGTAGAAAGAACGTTAGTTCTAGCAGATTCCTAAAGTCTTATTTTTAACAAATGCTCATCATCATATTTGATTCATAGGTGACCTAAAATAACAATAATTAAATGCTTAATTGTTCCTTAAGTGAAGCATCTGCCATGTGGTCCTTGTAAAGTTGCAGGGCTTGTTTTATTTCTGTTGCTGACAGCACGTGACTAATCCTCACACCCATGTTATAAAGTACTGGACCAATGTGCGTATTGGAATTTAGGCAAAGGCTGGCGCTGAAGAGTGTTTGGGCCCAGGTAGTATTACAAGAGTTTGTAAGAGTCACTGTGAGATCTGTTTGGGAGGCAACTAGACAGTGGGACCGAGTCCTGTGCTCATTGCATGAGTTGGCTTTTTGAAACCTGGGGCTTATGAAGGGACGCTTGGCTCAGTCTGGGAGGAGGGGACTGGACCTGCCTGGACTGAGTCTACCAGGTTGATCGCAGACCTCAGGGGAGGCTTTGCCCTGGAGGAGGTGGGAATGGGGGGTCGACCGGGGGTAAGGGGAGGGGGTGGGAGGGGGGAGAACAGGGGAACCCGTGGCTGATATGTAGAACTGAATGGTATTGTAAAGTAAAATAAAAGGAAAAAGAAAAAGAAAAAAAAGAGTCACTGTGAGAATACTAAGTCAACATATTTGTATTTCTGTATTACTATAATGAGGACAGAAATGATGGGCATTGACTAAATCTTTTTCCCTTTTTGCATAGTGTCTACTTTGGAAGCATTACCAATTATTCATATTAATTATTTTCTTACCTGTAATCCTTTTTCAGAGAAAATGAATCACCCTGCTTACTGTTTATTATAGTAAAGACATGATTTAAGTTTATAAAAGTAGTACTTGGGCTAAAATCTTGATTTATTTTTTTCCCCTAAAGCCTAAATACCAGACTTTTATGCAAAGAAATTGCAGAACTGAAAGCATAGAAGGAGTTCCAGTAGCTTCACCTTTCTCTCAGTTCTGCAGATGACCTCTGGACTCTAAAGCCTCACCCCAGTGGGAAGCTGGCCCCAAACCAAGAAATAAAAACACACAGCTCTCTAGGAGCCAATGCTCATGGACCAAAGTCCACTTTTGAGGTTCCTGCTCACACTGGGGAGTTCCAGACTGTCATGTGGAATCTATTTATACTTCACGAGTGGCAGTTCTGACAAGCCTAACTGGTTACTTCCGGGTTAAGCTTAATAAACAGAGAAGACGCCACTCCTGGCAAGCATGTTAAGAACAGAAAACAACCAAAAGGAAGACAGAATAAATAAATAAATAAATAAATAAATAAATAAATAAATAAATAAATAAATAAATAAATACATACATACATAAATAAATAAATAAATAAATACCTTCTTAAGGAAAGGTATCACTACATTGCAACTCTGTGCCACAAATAAGGTTGGCACTCATGGCTCTGAGCTGCATACAAAAAGTAAATAAGGTGCAGTACATTGCATCTAAAAGTATTTATGGAAACATACAATCTTTTCAAATGGAATTTGATGGTCTTAAAATGAAAATTAAAGACTTGGTGGTGAACTCTCAGATAAATAGAACAGTTGGGTACTTAAAACCAAACACTATTTATTTATTTACTTATTTTGTGGTGCTGAGGATCAAACTCAGGCCAGGTTTAATGGCCAAATTTGGTTCCAAATACAAGTGTCAGGATAAGATGGCCATACCTAGTTGATGTCTGAATTGCCTCAATAGTGTAGAGAGGAGAAGCCAGAACTAACTCACTGAAGTATGTGGAAATTAATTTTTGTAATGTAACTGGTGATCTTTTATGAAATATGAAGTGAAACAAAAGATTTTGTTTCCCTTTTTATATTTCCTTTCAAATATACTATTTTAAACCTCAAGTGACGTGTTCTTTTTACCTCCCATGTGTGATCCTTACTTCATTGCCTTATAACTGATGTCTAACCTAAGAAATATGATGTTTTGTAATTTTGGAAAAGAACATAGTTGTTCTTTGCTTTAAATTCAATTTTAATTAAAAAAAACTAGTATCTAGGATAGACAGTGATGTAGAAATTAACTGCAGATTCAGCTAGTGTCTAAGCATCTTCCTTGTCTGTGAAGCTCTGGTCAATTATGTCAGACTGGCACATGGTAACATTGTAGGAAGTAGAAAAGAGTGGTGTGAACCTTTCTTCAATTTATGCAAATTTAATTATACCTATGATGGATGACGGTAGTAAATTTATTTCAATAAATAGACAATAACAAGAACAAATAAAAACAGCTGGAACTATTTGGGTCTTAAGGATTAAAAATAAAAGCTTATTAAGATGGCTGTTTATTTAGTTACATTTTTCAAAAAGTTGCTCTGGTTCTTTAATTATTGAGAATAGTGTTAAATTCTGTAAAGGTAGAAACTCCATCTTTCATATTTTCTATATATATTTACATGTTCCAGGCACTGGACTGAAAACCCAACTTTTAAAAGCATAGTTTAAAACTGTAGTATACATTTTATTGGAATATGTTATAGTAAAGCTTCTACCTGGCCTCAATATTTTGATACCATCAAGTGAAATACAGGTACTGCCCTAGTGGCCATAGCTTTCCTACTTCATTTTACACTTGCAGTCTGAAGCAAGATTCAAGTCTGTACACAGTTCTGCAGTCAAGAAAGGACTCCCTGGCAATAGTCTTATCTAGGGAAAGGCCAGCCCACTTTCTCACAAAGTTGGGTTGGAAAAGGGAACCAAAGTTTTCAGGGTCTCAGGATTTTTCAGGAACAATTTGTGATTTTTTTTTTTTAAAGACATGAAAATTCACTTGGCACATTTCAGTAGAGAAAATGAAAGATTATTTTGGTCTGACAAGGTTTTAAAAGTTGTCCTGGGTGGCAGAGATGGCTCAGTGACTATGAGTCAGTGTTCTACTCTTATTAGAGGTCCCAAGTTTGGTACCCAGCATGCACAACGGCTCACAACTGACTGTAACTCTGGCTCCAAGAGATCCAACACCCTTCTCTGGACCTCACAGGCACCTGCACTCGTGCACATATCCCCTCCCGCCCCCCCCCCCACATATACATAAACACAGACTTAGAAATAAGCCTTTAAGAAAAAGAAAAGTTGTCCCTAGTCAGTGCTTCAACCTATAAAATTCCTAATGTAGACACAGGGACATCTGATCTCAGAGGTGGTACTGAAATGGTCCTCCAGACATCAGGAACTCCCAGTATGAGAATGAGCTAAGAAATGATCAGGGATAGCATAAACTACTTGAAAATTAACTGATTCTACCCCACTTTTCTCTTTTCTAACAATAAGTAAATAGGTGGATAACTTAAAAGATTATATCTCAGTTTGTTTTGCTGCCCATCTCATAACCAGATATAATTTTATAGTCTTTTACATGAGCACTAATATGAGCTTCATTGTTCCACTCTGTGTGCACAAGTATGACATATGTGCCTTTAAAAAACTTGAAAGAGGAACAGATAACTCAAACAGAGATGAGTTACTGCGATCAGTGACATGCCTCACTGGGCTGTCTTGGTATTTATCACACTTGACTGACATATCATTTTGGTGCCTACCCTGTGGCCTCCACTGGACCTGCCTTTCCCATCTCATCCTTCACAACCAGGCATGAATTACAAGATGTCAAGGATGCAGGGCACATATTCTGATGCTACCAGAATCACACAGCTCAAAACATGGTGGCTGTTATTGTCTAGATATGAAATGTCCCCCATAGGCTTGTCTGGTGGTGCATGGTTGTGGTGATGCTCGTGGTATTACTTTGGGAAGCCCAGAGCCCTCGGGAGGTGGGGCCCATGGGGAATGGAAGTCACTGAAGATGGTCTCCTGTCTTTTCCTCACTCTCTGCTTCCTGTTATGATGTTAGTGGCTCCATCGTGCCCCCCTTGCCACATGAACTCAAACCTCTCAAACCACGAGGTTTGTGAGTGAATCCTCCCTCCTTTGAAGTTTATGTCAGATAGTTGTCACGGTGATGAGAAAGCACACTTTGTTTCTCATGCAGCGCTTTGTTTCATCTGATAGATTACCTGCTGTGTTATATAGCTCTGTGCTACGCCCTCAGGGTACGTGAAGAAAAGATACAACTCCTCCTCCGAAGAAGCCTGAGTCTGACACGTATTTAAGCCTGGTTAGTTTAGTTTTTACCTCATTTCTCTGGGTGGAGTGGGTATCGGTATTTTCAGAGTTCCTGGCAGGACTCTCAAGCAGTCACCACTGAGAACTGCTGTGGTGGGAGTGGGGGGGGGGGCAGTTAGGGAGCAGGTACACTCGAAGTTTCCTGAATTAGCCAGTAAAGCTCATCTTTCAGAATCAGCCAGCCTCCTGCCTCGGAATCCCTTCAGTCTCCACCAGGAGGCCCCCTGCCCACATTTGCCTTCTCAACGTTGGACCAGGTCCTGGTCAACCAATTTTTAGATACTAAAACTCCAAGCCGCACTTGGCTGCTAACTGAATCCCAACTCACTGTCCTCTGGGCAAGTGCATTCTCCTAACCTGCTCCCTGCCTGTGTCCCACTGTGAGGCCCTGCTTGCTGCCTGGGTTCTCCTACCCATCACCTGATTCCCTGACTGCTGCTCTGTTTCTCTGGCAAGAACATCTACAAGCTGCTGTGCCAACCCGTTGACCTCCAGATCACCTCAGGCCAGGTCTCTCTTATCTCCTATCTGATCTGGCTCACCTGGCCTCTACCTCCATTGTTGGTGTGATGCCATCAGCAGCAGATACTGTTCAAAAGGATCAGACATCAGGAAGAAAATGTCTTTGTAGGGACCACCAAATTTGCTAACTAGTTCTAACCTGTTCTGTCTGTAGGTTTCTTTAGCTAACTAGCTGTCTTGGGAAAGCACCACAGGCACACTTAGGCTGTTGTCTGGGTTTTCATTACCAGCACAATTAGACTTTGTAGCCCTGGCTGGGCAGCATCTCCTTGGAGCTTCTTTGACTTCAAAGGGAGGCCAGTGATCCTGCTGACTCCAGTGGATTAAGTGAACCTTTAACTGAAACCCAATCACACGCCAAGTATCTTGTTAGGTATATTTGTGGTGTGATGTTGCTTGATAAGCTTTATTTTCTACCCAGGAGTTTAATAATGTATCACAAATGAAGGTGTTTTTCTCAAACCAAAAAGGCAAAGGATCTCTGTGATCTGAAGAGAAACCAGAGTATTTTCTGAACCAAGTTTGCAAGTTCAACACCCCAAATCGTGAAATTGGTAACATTTCTACCCCTTCTCCCTCCTATTCATTCTAACATAAAGTGGGCAAAATAATACACTTAAGCGTAGTAAAGGTAAAAAAAAATATAGTCAATTTTAGGCTATATTTAAGTTTTGTTAGTCAGCAACTTGCAAAACCTTGAGTCCTGGTTTCTAGTCTATTTGGCTGTGCAGATTTTTATGTCTGTCCTAGCTCTCATCCTACCAAGCTGTAAACTCCAGTGTTCCCACATGACTGTAAACTAAATGAGCAGTTCAGTCCTCCCAGGGCACATACGGGACCTGCCATGTAGGAGCAGCTCGAGAAATTCCTGTTGCAAGAGTGAACCTGCCTGCTGACTATAAACAACCCCAGAATGTCACAGGGAAGCATTCTGACTTGCTGTGCCCAAGGATTCTTTCCTAAGCTGTGAGCAGCTAAGTGTATTCACGTCTACAGCTGTTGACTAGAGTTCTCATCCAAGAACTGAACGGCCATAGGTGCAACTTTTGGTGCTTATTCCACATCAGTAACACAAAACTTTCGCACAGGAGGCCAATAGCCAACCCCCCAGAGATGGCTATGCCAATGCTATTCCCGGCACCGTGCCATTCTGAAGGCCCTGATTGTGGAAATGGGTTGATTTGAGTTTTCTTTAATCAAGTTGGGAACCCTAAAGCTTAAAAGGTGCTTTTGATCTTCTAGACAGAGAGTTCCCTCACACAGTAATATAAATGCTATATTTATATATAGCATATATGCTGAGGGTAGATATTGCACATGAGCCCTTACAAATGTCTATTTAGTACCACTGATGGTCACACATTTGACAACTGAGGGGTCGGATCCCTCTAAAATGAATGTATATGTACACATGTTCTGGTGTTTCTGTATGTCTGTTCCTAGCATTTTTCTGCTTTCTTTGGAATTTTGCAAAGGTTACTCTGAGGTGTGACATTTCCTGCCTCACTTTGTAAAGATCTCTTTTGTCAAACACCTGTCTACAAACTAGTTTAGGAGTAGCTGAAAGCAGTCATGAAGAAATGGGATGTAGTGGGCAGACCTTTTCTGAGGGTGCACTGTTGATATTTTTCAAGTAATAGGCATTTCAAGGAGAAGTTTCCTATGTTTACATTTTCCTCACAGGAAAATAACTATGACATTATCTACTTGTCCTGTGTTCATTTCACTTTTGAAAACAGGGGCTCACTAAAACAAAATCCCTTACACTAGAATAAATAAAAACAAAAGATAACTGGATGACAATTTCTACTCTTTATGTTACTGGTGCTTTCTTTTTATGAAACTTCAGTGAACAGAAATAAAAATTTTATAACAGAACAAATTGAACAAGAATGGAAATTATCATCATCATTGTGTAGTGATTAGGAACTAACTGAGCAATGGGCACTATGAACTTTGTTTTCATAATACAGGCGACACTGTCTTCTGTGGGCCCATCATGGCTGTGCTAGCTCAGTCAACCATGCGAACAGGACCATTGCTAGTTTTAGTTTAACCCATGGGTCAGCAAGCCATGGCTGATGGGCTAAATCTGGCCTGTTGCTTCTTTGCATATGGCCTACAAGCAATAATGGTTTTTAAATGAAAAATTGGGTGGCACACACCTTTAATCTCACCACTTGGAAGGCATATCTTTGAGTCCAGCTTGGTTTACATAGCAAGTTTCAGGCCAGCCTGGGCTACATAATGAGACCTTGTCTCAAAATAAACAAACAAACAAAAACCCAGAAGAAAAAAATAATAGCTGAGAAAATATCAAACGAAGATTAATATTTCGTGATATGGGACTATAATGTGGAATTTGAATTTTATAGTGTGCATAATGCATGATATTATTTGTATAATGTGCAGAATGCATGATATTATATGATGCATTTATGTAATGCACATGAAAAGGCTTTATTGGAGCACAGCTACACTTGCTCATGCACTTGTCTGTGGTTGCCTTCATGTCCTGGCAGGCCACGGTTGTAACAAAAACCATATGGCTGTAAAGCTGAAAATACTACTTTGCCCTTAAGAAAAAGCGTGCTGGCCTCTGGTTTAACTTTGGAGCTAAAATTCTATACGATCTACATCTGTGTATGGGGCATGCCCATGCCCTGGGCTATTGCAGCTCCCTCTGTGATTGGAAAATACCTTCTCAGGGCTAAAGGCCAGGTTCTAATAGGAACAGCCTACTAGGGGTGCTTGCTTAGGGTGGGTCCAGGAAGAATACCCTGTGGTTAGGTTTGAGCCAAAGTAGCCCGTAGACTACTTCAAACCTGGCTCATCCCTGTTCTGAGGTTCCTGTGAAGGAATACATGGTTGTCACATGCTAAGGGTATAGTGTTTGACTACTTAGATGGCACCTACTGTTGCTGAGAGTGAGAAATAGGCATTAAATATTACAAGGACAATGTTTGTTTATGTTTTAGTCCTACAATATACTTTTAATTTTGATTTTATTTTATGTGAATGAGTGTTTGACTGCATATATGTCTGTGCACCATGTGTGTGCCTAGTGCCCATGGAGGCCAGAAGAGCGTGTCAGATCCCCTGGAACTGTTACAGACAGTTGAGGGCTGCTATGTGGGTGCTGGGAATTGAACCGGGTTCCACTGGAAGAGCAGATCTTTTCTCCCCTTTGGCACTTGGATTAAACTCTTGCTCCACTGCTGAGTGACACCCTACGCTGGGGATGAATACTAATGAAAAAGTAAGGACCCACCTGGACGTGTTTCTGCCACAACAGGGCCAGCAAGCTCAGAAGGCTTCCCAACGCCCGCCTGGTTGATGGCACGCACGCGGAACACGTAGCTGACACCCTCTGTGAGGCCTTGCACCTGGAATAAGCAGGTTTAGAAGTAATGTATGTCTTACGTCACATAAACAGGTGTGTTCTTCCTCTGCAGGTATCATTAATCACACAGCACCAAGGAAACAGGGCTTGTGCTCTAGAGCTGGCCTATGTCGTTCAGGTGGCTTTGACTTTGGTCTCGCCTCTCTGTGGACCAGCTGTCAAAGTTGCTAAAATCCCTGCCAGCCCTTCCTTCTCACATTCCCTCTCAAATAATTTAAGCACCTCCGAAATCATGTAACATGTTTCTGAAATGTGTGCGTACTTTGGATGAGTTAGCTGCCTTCTTCTTTGGTCCAAAAGGTAAAATTCAAAGAGTTCAAAATAGCATTTATGTTACCCACCTTGCAGTGATTCCCTTAGCAAAAAGACATTTTGCATTTGCTCAAAAGTACATTACAGATGCTGGAGAGATGGCTCAGAGCACTGGCTGCTCCTCTAGAGGACCCGGGTTCAATTCCCAGCACCCACATAGCAGCCCTCAACTGTTTGTAACTCCAGTTCCAGGGGATCTGACACACTCTTCTGGCTTCCATGGGCACTAGGCACACACACAGTGCACATACATACATGTAAAACACTTGTTTACGCCGGGCGGTGGTGGCGCACGCCTTTAATCCCAGCACTCGGGAGGCAGAGCCAGGAGGATCTCTGTGAGTTCGAGGCCAGCCTGGGCTACCAAGTGAGTTCCAGGAAAGGCACAAAGCTACACAGAGAAACCCTGTCTCGAAAAACCAAAAAAAAAAAAAAAAAAAAACACTTGTTTACATAAAATAAAATTAAAATTAAAAGTATATTACAGGACTAAAACATAAACATTGTCCCTGTAAATTTAATGCCTATTTCTCACTAAATAGACAGGAGACTAATATAATTGTGAATTTAAAAAACTTGTGAATGCCGGGCGGTGGTGGCGCACACCTTTAATCCCAGCATTAGGGAGGCAGAACCAGGTGGATCTCTGTGAGTTCGAGGCCAGCCTGGGCTACCAAGTGAGTCCCAGGAAAGGCGCAAAGCTACACAGAGAAACCCTGTCTCGAAAAACAAAAACAAAAACAAAACAAACAAACAAACAAAAAACAACAACAACAAACTTGTGAATAATCAAAGTGTATTAAAATTCTACACTCTCTTAGAGAACCAGCCCATATGTCCATCAACAGTTGAATTGATAAAGGAAATTTGATACATTTATACAATGGAATTTTATTTAGCTGGAAAGAATGAAATTATAAAATTTTCATGAAAATGGGGGTGGAACTGGAGCTCACTGGGCTAATGAAATATGCAAGTCTCAAAAAGACAAGGGCCTTGCTTCATCTCACACATGGGGACACAAATTTAAATGTTTACATACAGAGAACATAAGAGTAGAAGAGGAACTATGAAGGGAGAGGGGAAACCCTCAAGGGAAGGAGAAGGGGAAGAAGAGAGGCTAATGGAATTTATGGGATATGAAAGTGGAAGGGGGGACTTTACAGGAAGGGGCAGGAGCCAGCAATAGGGCGTGGGGAGAGGAAGCAGAGGGAGCTGGGAGGAGGCTAAGAACAAAGGAGAATGATATATGTGTTTTAAAATGCTACAGTGAAACTCATTACTTTGCATGCTAACAAAAATAATTAAAAATATCCTACATCCAGGCTGGAGCGATGGCTCAGAGGTTAAGAGCACTGGCTGCTCTTCCAAAGGACTCGGGTTCAATTCCCAGCACCCACATGGCAGCTCACAACTGCCTGTAACTCCAATTCCAGGGAATCTGGTATCCTCACACAGACATACGTGCAGGTAAAAACCCCGATGTACATAGTAAGTAAATAAATCTTTTAAAAAATATTCTACATCCTTGATTTTAAAAATTATTTATTATTGTTGTCTATGCACAATGGGGCAGGGATACCGGCCATGCCATGGCACACATGTAGAAGTCAGAGGACAAGCTGTGAGTGCCAGCTCTCTCCTTCCACCATGTGGGGTCTGGGGACTGAACTCAGATTGCTAAGCTTGGCAGCAAGGGCTTTAACTTGCTGAGCTTGGCAAAGTATCAGCCTCAAGACCAGGAGTTTTTTGTTCCTTGGTTCTTAAACTTTTATGTGTGTGAGTATTTTGCCTGCAGGTATGTTTGTGCACTATATCCTTGCCTGTGAAGGCCAGAAGAGGACATCAGGTCCCTGGGATCTGGAGTTACAAATGGCCATGAGTGGCCATGTAAATGTTGGGCTCTGAACCTGGGTCCTCTGCATGGCAGAGAGTTTCCCAGCCCTCTCAGTTTTAAATAATCAAGATGGTTGCTAAGAACATGTTTCATAAATGTGTGAGTTGGTTTGGGCTCTGTGCTGTTATCGTTCCTAGTATTAACAACGCTGTTAATATTATTTATCAAAATTCTTTTATTTTTAAAACATATAATTTAAAAGAGTTGTTTTTAGGAAGGAATTTATTATACCCAGGAGGTGTAATTTCTCCCCTGATGCTGTGGTAGAGACCAACACTCTAAATTTGATTCAAACTCAACAGTGCTGGGGAACATGTAGTCAATAAATAAAGCCTTTGTGACTATGGTGATATTTTATTTGTGCTGAAATGTGATTTTATTTGTATGTTAATAAATAAAGCTGCCTGGGGGTCAGAGCTAATAGCAAGCAAGCCATAGATAGCAGAAGTCTGGCAGTGGTAGCACACGCCCGTAATCCCAATCACATGACAGGCAGATCTCTGTGTGTTCAAGGACACCACCAGCATTGAGACACACGCCTTTAATCTCAATACCAACCATAGAAGACCTGGAGGTCTGTATAGACAGGCAGTGACGAGGTGGTCATGTGGTTGGGTTTACACCCAATGAGAGGGCAGAACAGAAAGTCAATAAAAAGACCGAGACACAGGAAGTAGGTTTCTTTGGCAGGGGAAGGACGGCAGCGGCAGTGAAGGGTAAGAAGGCGGTTGGTTTTAGTCTCAGCTCTTAGCTACTGCTCAGACCTCTTGGGCTTTTAACTCTGCATTTGGCTCTGTGTTTCTTATTTAATAAGACTGTTATATCTACATGTGACTATGAATGTAGACTAGCTATGCTTTTACTGTTAGGTTTTAAATCTAACTGTTGGATTGGGTTCTGATGGCAGCAGAATATTATTATATAGTGATAGCTCTCCCTGGAGCTAATGAACTTTGCTTCTTTGTTTTGTTTATGAAACAAGGTCTTGTATAGACTAGGCCAGCCTGGGACTCACTACTTAGTGGAGGCTGACCTTGAACTCATGGTTTTCTTGCTTGTCTACCAAGTGCTAGGATTACAGGCTTGTCACCACACCTAGTTGAGATAATGAATTTTCAGAAATAATTTCAAAATTGAAATAAGTTCAGTCTGTAAGTGAACTTGAACTAGGGCACAGGCTAAATGCAGAGTTCAATATATTTCAAATTCTATATTGAGAAATAATGCCAAGAAAGGAACAGGAACATTTTTTTGTGATAAAAACAGACCAGTCACCAGGTGCCTGTCACATCTGTACCTGGCACGTAGGTGATGAGTAGCTGTGAGTTGGGTTTCTGTGACACAAGGAAGTAACCTACATTCCAGAGTCTAGTCAGTGTTGAGACAGAAATACATCTGCACTCTTCCATTACCTCCAGCACAAGAACAACACCATGACTAACTCATAATCTATGCATCCATACCCTTAGACTTCCTTTCCTTTCCTCTAATCTAAACAGGAATTATGTTCTGTCTTCTTCCATCCACTCCTGTCTCACACTCTCTAATTATCAACACGGCTATGAACTGTTTGCTATGAATGCAGCATGCAAATTTTGAGTGGTTGTGGCTTAGTCACCCTAATAAAGCTATAGGCTGTGGAATCATAATCCTTGCCCTGCTACCGATTTAGGGTCTTCAGGTACTCTGTCTGTCCCCACCCCAAGGGAAAACATTCTTTTGCGGCTCCCAGCCAACACAGCTGAGAGGACCTGTTGCTTCCAAGCAGCATCTGTGTGTCAGCGAGGCCCAGGTTCAGCAAGCACGCGCAGGGAGACTGGAGGCAGTGGTATGGAAAAGGTGAGGCGAAGGTCAAGAGTGGAGTGAACCCATTCCGGCAAGCTCCAAGCGTTCATGCAAGCGCAGGCATGCCTGAGGAAGCCAAGTGAGCCAGGGCATGACTCCAAAGAGTCTGCAGATACAGCAGTGCCAGTGTGAATCTGTGAAAAGAGCACCCTCCAGGAAAAGGCCACTGTCAAAAATGGTGAGAGGAGAATGAGAATCACCTTTGGAGGGGCAGCAATGAGCAGTAATGTTGTAAGATTGTGCAGAGCAAAAACTCTGAGAGGGAATGTCAAAGCAAATAGGGGAAGAAGAGGGAGGAGGGAGCTGGTGGACGCCACTCAAAGTGGATTAAGGAATTCAGGTGAAATGTCACCAAACAATTTCAAGCATCAAAAAATTCCCCAGCCTTAATTACTGCCAAGTAGATGGAATCTTACCAGGAGCCCAATCTATGAAATTGATTCTGATTATGTTAGCTCAGTATTAGTAGTTTTCCTTTTTAGAGAGAAAAGGTTGCCGGGCAGTGATGGCGCACGCCTTTAATCCCAGCACTCAGGAGGTAGAGGCAGGCGGATCTTTGTGAGTTCGAGGCCAGCCTGGGCTACAGAGCGAGATCCAGGAAAGGCACAAAGCTACACAGAGAAACCCTGTCTCGAAAAAACAAAAACAAAAACAAAAACAAAAACAAAAACAAAAACAAAAAAGAGAGAAAAAAGGCCTGCTGTAAATCCTAGGGCATCCTCTTACCCTCAGATATGTGTTCCCAAGGGCTGCCTCATTGAGACCTCGCCATTGGTCATCTTTGGCGCTGGCTTCCTTCAGGTCCACAAAGTAACCAGTGACCGGAGTCCGCCCTGAGTAGACTGGAGGCTTCCACTGGAGAACCAGGGAGTTCTTCCTGACTTCACTGAGTTTCAGGCTGTGTGGTGGTCCTGAGTCGGGGAGAGAGAGCAGCAGAAGTCAGTGTGCATGAGGAGAACTCACTATGATTACATTCGCAGCCACATCGAGGGTGTCTCAGCTGACTCGTCTGCTGGCCTTCTCTGTAGAAATCTACCAGCCTCCTGAGAGCAGGCATGTTGTGGTCACTGCAGCTTTCTACAGCTGCCCTGCAACAACTCATGGAGCACAGGTGGTCAAGGCCATGCCCAGATGTTTCTTGGAGCTAGATAAGCATCCCTCAGGCTGTTCTTGGGTGGACAAGTCATCACTGATTTCAGTCCCTCTTAGGGCAGTTAGCAGACAGTCCACAGAAGCCAAATAACTTGATAACACTATGAAGAAAAGACACTATGATATATGCTGTGCACATGTCTGCATTTCTAAACAGTCTAAACTATGATGTACCTTTGTGTGGTCACTGGCTGCTATTAAGTGATATACACATTTTTTTTTCCAAATAACAACATCTGTCTAAATAGCCAATCACAATCACCTGAAGTGACTCACAGTGACTTGACATCAACTGCACACACTGGCACTGCCATGCTGTGCTTCAGCATTTCACAACTGGTAGTTCAATATTTGCCTCACTATTTACCCAGCTTAGGAATTTCAAATATGCACCATTCTTATTTTCCAATGTCATCTCTGGAAACATACTTAAATATTAGCCTCAAATAGTGTTGTAGCTAGAGTTTTCCTGCCTTGCCCATAGTCAGGACAAGTCTTTGTCACCCACCAGTCCCACAGCCGCTCAGACCCAACCAAGTAAACACAGAGACTTATATTGCATACAAACTGTGTGGCCGTGGCAGGCTTCTTGCTAACTGTTCTTATAGCTTAAATTAATCCATTTCCATAAATCTATATCTTGCCACGTGGCTGGTGGCTTACCCGCATCTTCACATGCTGCTGGTCATGGCGGCGACTGCAGTGTCTCTCCGCCTCTGCCTTCCGCTTCCCAGAATTCTCCTCCCTCCTTGTCCCACCTACTTCCTGCCTGGCCACTGGCCAACCAGTGTTTTATTTATTGACCAATCAGAGCAATTTGACATACAGACCGTCCCACAGCATAGTGTGGTACATTCTGCTTAGCAAAGGTCTTTAGTGACCATGAACTTGGGCATCCAAGTAGGCAGTCCCTCTTTGCAGAGGTGAGCCAAGGTTCTGCTGTGACTCCTTAGGGAAGAGGAAGGCCACATTTCCAGCCCTGAATCTGTCACTTGCTACCCATGTGACTTTCCATATGTCATTAACTTGTACCTCAGTTTAGTCACCTTCACAATGAAAGGAAGGAAAAATATTCTTACTTCTACCTTCTAGAACAGCTTCCCAATGCCTGCTTGGTCAATACTACTCACTAAGTCAAGGATGGATCAAGGTGGTCAGTGGGGTGTTTCTCATCTGAGCCCACCATGAAACTCTTTTCTCAGCTTGATCACTCTCTGTGGGTGCCTTTAGTGCAGGCCTGCTCATAATTGCTAAGTCTGTGGACAGTCACATTTTACTTTAAGAACTATGAGAATTTGGAAACAGATCCATGCTGTGGAACAATCATTTTATACACTGTGAATATTTGTTACTCTCATCGGTTTAATAAAGGGCTAAATGGTCAATAGCTAGGCAGGTAGAGGTTAGATGGGACTTGTGAACAAAAAAAGAGCTCAGGGATGAAGAAGGGTGGAGTCACCAGGAGACACAGAGAAAGCAGGAAATGAACATGCCATACTGAAATAAGGTACCAAGCCACATGGTAGAACATAGATTAAAAATATGGGTTATAATAATCAAACTTGTAGTCATATTAGGTATGTTTTCAAGGTTAAACAGATATATTTAAATAGATAGATGGTCTTCAAACACTTCAAAATCCTACAAAATACCCTGAGGCTTTTCATGACAGTAAGATATTGTAACTGTAATTCTTACTTGATAACTGTTTTTATTGTATATAACTTTACTATGTTAAAGTTAAAAACCTTCCTTTTTAATTAGACAAAAGGAGGAAATGCTGTGAATAATCCTTTTGTACACTGTAAAGATGTGTTGCTCTCATTGGTTTAATAAGATTAGGTAGGACAGGCAGACTGAGGGAATGCTGGGAAGGAGCACAGAGTCACCAACCAGACACAGAGGGAGCAGGATGCATAGAAAATAAAATAACAGGCCATGAGCCACGTAGAAGCACATACATTAATAGAAATGAGTTAATTTAAGTTTTAAAAGCTAGCTAGTAACAAGCCTGAGCTATCAGCTGAGCATTTATAATAAGTCTCTATGTGGTTATTTGGGAGTTGGCTGGTGGGACAGAAACCTCTGCTAACAGATCCACCTGTATAAAAGTGGCAGAAAGAAGTTTTTAACACCCAGCTCAAAGACAGGTGTTTGCCTCTGTGTACCTGCTGACGTTGAGTGAGCATTGAATCTCTTCTGTTTCTTTTGCTAATTTTTTATTCATACTTGGCAGAAGTCAAGTAGAAAGGTAATTGCCGAGTAGGGCAACATGGAGGTTCTTCTGGGGCACAGGGTTTCAGACAGAGGAAGGGGTGGCAGAATGGGTGGAATGGGCATGGTGGCTGTCCACACAGGGTGCCTTTATGTGGTCTGGAGTGTTTATAAAATCAATGATTGTATCATGCCAATTATTAGATATGTTGATTATCAAACCCAGGAGTCCTGTGTCATTCAGAATATTTGGGTCTCAGAAATCAATACCAAAGTCAGAAGGAAAATTAAATCATCTACAATGTGCATATTACTAGTTGGGATCTTAATACTTAGTAAGTCTGTTTGTAGTCAGTGTTTATATGTGTTTGGTTTTATGGCATTATACGAGGTGTGAGCATGGGTAAGCTCTTCTGCTTACTTCTTTTTTTTTTCTTCCTCATGTACCCAACCACCTCCATGACAACCTCCACAGCAGACTATTTGCAAACCAGATTCCCAGACTCCTGAGGGGAGGGAGTGTAGTGTGGACACACAGATACTAGGGCTTAGTGGAGAGAGACAAGTAGAGAAAAGCCAGGCTCATATCCCAGTCAGGCATGATAAGCCCCTGTAGACGTTAAGGAAGAGCTAGGACAAGGGAGAAGGACATGGAGAAGTCACCATCTCAGCCAGGTCTCCAGAAGGAGAGCTGGGTGTTGATAGATGAGTACTTCAGAGCAGAACAGCAGTGAAGGATGCAGGAAATGGTTCTGGAAATAAATATGCTGTGGGATACGAACTGATGCTCTCAAGTGGCCTTTAAGAGACAAATGAAAAGTTCAGAAGTCCTTCCGAGTGTTCACTTGGCACTCAAATTGTGATTCTGTCAGTCCTCCAAACAGAGGCTGGGCAATGGCAGCTATGGGTTTTAGTTGAAATAGGAGAATGAGGAATATATTTCTTTCTTTCTTTCTTTCTTTCTTTCTTTTTTTTTTTTTTTTTGGTTTTTCGAGACAGGGTTTCTCTGTGTAGCTTTGCGCCTTTCCTGGAACTCACTCTGTAGTCCAAGCTGGCCTCGAACTCACACAGAGATCCACCTGCCTCTGCCTCCCAAGTGCTGGGATTAGAGGCGTGCGTCACTACCACCCGGTGAGGAATATATTTTCAAGTTTACATTTCTAACTATCTTTTATCTATTATTTAATGCTATCATAAAATATTTGAGGTAACTATAGCAAGCATGTTCTTGTCTCTTAAATGTCATCCAGGTAGTACTTCAGTTAACTACAACACGTAGATTTTGTTGGAGGACAGACACAGTTCGCACTTTACCTGGAACAGCAATGGTCCATTCTTCACACTTGAAACACTCACTCACTGCGGAGGGCACTCCCAGCCCAGCGATGTTCATGGCTGACACTTGGAACTGGTACACTGTGTTTTCCTTCAAATTGCTAATCTATAACATTGATAACATCACAAGCAGTTGTTCAGCATTTTATTTATTTAACTCTGTGTCACAAATATATCCTATGGTGATCTAGTTTTATTACATGTGTTTAACATTGAACTTACTTACTTTTTGTGTTGGCTCTATCCTAGAGTGACCCCCTGTAAGTCACACCCTTTTATAACCACATTCCTGTTTGTAGCCTAAAGAACAGCCTCCTGTTACTTCTGTTCCAGGGAATCAGATACTCTCTCTTGGCATACACATAAATAAAAATAAACTTCAAAAAAAAGTAATTGTGCTAGGTATGATGTTGCACAACTTTAATCTCAGCACGTGGGAGGCAGAGATAAGTAGATCTCTGTGAGTTTGAGGCCTTTCTGGGATAGATAGTAAGTTCCAGAACAGCCAGGGCTCTATCTCAAATACCACCAACAAAACAACAAGACAAGCTAGAAACAAACCAAATACCCGGGTAATTAATAATATTAAAAAGCACAAGTCAATAAAATACAGCAGCATCTAAACTAGGAAGAGGGCAAAGGGATTAAAATATTTTAAGGTTTTATGTTTCTGAGATGAGGGTAAAACAAAGAGAATAACATCAAATTCTACATTTGTTCATCCAGCCATAAGAAATCAACCCCAAATTATACAATATATCTTTCAAGGCAGAGTAGGAGGAAATGAAATGACTTTTAAACTATATTCAGAGCCAGTACAATATCTCAGTGCATAAAGATGCTGCCAAGCCTGATACCCTGAATTCAATCCCCAGCAGCCACAGAATGGGAAGAGACCTAACTCCTACAAGTGTTCTCTGACCTCCAGACAGGTGGGCACACACAAAATTAATAAATGTATACAAATGTTTTAAATAGTCAAAAGTAGTCAATAAAGAACAGAAAAATGCACATGACAGAAAGATCAAGTAGAACGTACATAATTAGGTGATTAGGTTAAAAAATATGTAGTAAGATTAAAATAAGGTTAAATATTTCTAAATGATATAAAATATAAACTGTCAGGCCAAGGGAACTATGTTTTTTAGACAGCGTCTCATTATAGCCCAGGCTGGTCTTGAACTCCTGATCTTGCTGCCCTCACTTCCAGAGTGCTAGGGTGCTACTTCCAAAAGATACATAAAAAAACATTACAGAAAGATTGATTAAATGATGTTTAAATGTTAAACTAAATGATGAAAAGTAATGTGCCATGTAAACACCAACTAAAAGAAAATGCATACATTGTCATTAATAATTGCAAACACAGCCTTTAAGGCAAAACTTACCATTGGCACTAAAGACTCACTTTGTATTCATCTAATAAGGTCACCTTAAAAATACATATAGCAATGTTTGAAATGAGCAGGCTTTCTTGTGAGATGGTCCCACAATTTTCCTTTCCTATACACTGTTCATATTATTCATTGGTGTCGAATTCTAGTTAGTTTCGGGATAATCTCATTCATTAACACTGCAGGGAGCAGTGTGGGGGATGATTAGCAATGAAATCCAGGTATGGATGAAAGTAGGTACAAAGAATGTCAAAGGAACACCGACTGCTTTTAGTCAATCACTTGACTATATCACATTAAAATTAAAGGAGAAATAAGGCCGGGCGGTGGTGGCGCACGCCTTTAATCCCAGCACTCGGGAGGCAGAGCCAGGCGGATCTCTGTGAGTTCGAGGCCAGCCTGGGCTACCAAGTGAGCTCCAGGAAAGGCGCAAAGCTACACAGAGAAACCCTGTCTCGAAAAACCAAAAAAAAAAAAAAAAAAAAAAAAAGGAGAAATAATGTATGACAACTCTCATTTTTTAATAATTTGAATTTACTTTTAACAAACAAGGACTATGTAAAACTTTCCTCCTTCTGCTAATGCTGGCTCTGAAACAACTATAGTAAATATAATGATGATGTTGGAATGTTTTTATCATAGCGACAAGGACTGGTGCTTTGGTCAGTGATAAAGTGCTTCTCTGGCATGATTGAGGCCCTAGCTTCCAGCCTTAGCACTTCACAAACAAAACAAGAAAATACGGTGTGGTGCCATGAGGCTATAACCCCAGCAGGGCGACTGTGAGGCAGGAGGATTGCTGCAACCTAGGCCAGTGTCGTTACAGAGTAAGACCCTGTATCAAAAAATAAAACAACCAACCAACCAAAACCCAAAGGATCCTGTCTAGAATGACATTACCACATCTACTCAACACTGCGTTAAAGGCCTCTGATAGAAAGTAGTGCAAGAAAATGAAGCATAAAGTGTAAAATTTGGATGTGAAGAAGTAAATATATTATTTGCATTCGATAGGACTATTTCTAAAGCGATTCCCAAAGGACTTATAAATTAATTTTTAAATTAACAAAACTAAAACAGCTATATGTAAAATCAGGATATGTTATTTGTATTTTTTTACCTCTGTGAGTTGTCCTCTTACCTCCTCAAGTATGACCCTCTCCCAACAAAAATAAATGGAGAAAAATACTAATGCTCATGGGTTAGAAGAATCAATATATTTAATGTGTTAATTATTCAACTTACTGATAAATTCTATGCACTCTCCACCAGAATTCTAATAGGTTTTAGTTTATTATTTTCCTTATCCTTTGTCTTGTTTTTTGGCAAAACTTAGTAGAAACATAATCCCATAATTTATATCAAAGCGTCAAGCGCTAAAAATTACCCTGAACAGTTAATGAAATGGGAGAATGCGGTTGTTTGTGGAAACAGTAATAACTGGTTAGTGGGACATTAGTTCAGTGTTGGATGAACTGTAGTGGAACAGAACACAAGGAGAGACACAAATACGAAGAAGAATCATGGGCAAAGGATGAATTTCATGAGGTGGTTCTGACTCGGCTGTGTCTCCACTGGGAGACAATCAATTCTGACCCTGCCCTCACAACACACACAAACTTCAAAGGGAACTAATGACTGAAATATAAGTGGCTGCAAAACCTGTAGACCTGTGCTTCTCAGCCTTCCTAATGCTGCAACCCTTTAATACAGTTCCTCATGTTGTGGTGACCCCCAACCGTAAAATTATTTCATTGTTACTTCATAACTAATTTTGCTACTGTTGTGGACCATGATGTAAGTATCTGTGTTTTCAGATGGTCTTAGGACCCCTGTGAAAGGGTAGTTTGACCCCAAAGGGGTTCCTACCCACAGGTTGAGAACAGCTGCTCTAGAGCAGAACCAAGTGCAGAACTTCTGTGATCCTGGCATAAAGGAGGCCTCTCTTCAAAAAGGCACCAAGATCACTGATTATGTTTACAACAATAAAGGTCGCTGCAAGTCGGTAAGAAAGCCATGAGGAAAATGGGCAAAACTATGAGTGGGCATGCTAGAGGAGAGGATATAAAAATGAAGCCTATAAGTGTCCAAAGTCAGAAAAGCTGTAAGCAAGGCTCCAATGATAAGCAACTTCATCTGGAGGAATCAAGACATTTTATAGAGATGGCTCATTGGTTAAGAGCATTCACGCCTTTAATCCCAGCACTCGGGAGGCAGAGGCAGAGGCAGGTGGATCTCTGTGAGTTCGAGGCCAGCCTGGGCTACCAAGTGAGT